TTTTTTTTCGTTCAACATCTTTTTCTGAATATGACATGGACGATATTTTACAAGCACGAAAATCTGACTAATATTGGTGATGATATTTGAGAGATTAATTTATGATGAAAATGTCGAAAAGTATAAGATACAGCTCAAAATTAGAGAAATCAACGTGCATTTGAGTAGCTATATGTACAAAGAATAGTTTTGCAATCCAGGGACTAGAAAAACCAAGAAATTTATTAGAATGATGGAACGAACATAAAAATTGATGTCTTTCAGATTCCTTGATTAAAATTGAAATTTTCATTAATATAATTCTATAATTTTGTTTACAAATCAAATTCATTTCATTTGCTTTATTAAAATGTTCCTTTTAATCAACGGACTTCAAATACATCAATTTTCATGTCCGGTTCACCAATCGAATCACCTCTTTTTTTCGTGTTTTTGATATAAAATTCACGAAAGTCATGAAACTTTCTGGATTTATACGTCCATGAGAATCCTTCTATTTCTGTTAAATATCTTGGCAAACACTTTAATTTGGTAATCAGCTTACTTCTATTCTTTTCTTTATGTATAACTTTAGAAAAGATGTTGACAATATCTGATATGTAAAATTTGTCGCAGGTTGACAGGTTACGACATACATAACCTGCAACCTGCCCTGTAAAAATTTTCGTAACCTTACCCTGCCCTGCCCTGTTCCTAGCGTAATCTGCCCTGCCCTGCCCTGGCCGGGCAGGGCAGGTTATCTATAACCTGCAGGGCTCTAGTCGTAATGGTGTACCAGGCTAGGCAAAAGCAATAAAAAAGATTATAAATTATGTCTATATTGATCTAAACTATCTTTACTATGTGGTTTCGGTAGGACATGATAATGACCAAGTTCCAATTTGTTTAATTTTGGAGATATTTTACTATATTGTTGGAAGCTGAGAGCTTTCTGTGCTAGAAGACTAGAGAGTAATGTTTGTACAGCATATAACATATCTGATAGTGGACAATGACTACTTGTAATTTCTTGATAAGCTTCTGTTTTTAACATATATTCTTCAAGTTTGCGTGCAAAATCAGTTGCTTTACCAATATAGAATACTTTGCTTTTATCTGTACGACGTATGACAATATTTGATCGGTCACGTAAAAGATGTCGAATACTTTGTACAATTTTGTATTCACGTTTTGCACGTTTTTCTAATTTTCTGGATAGCTTTTTTGATTGTAATTCATGTAGGATACATTGTAATGCTTGAAATGCTTCTTCTGCTCGTTTATTTGTAGTTGTTATTCGATGATCTTGTAGACAGTTTTTTACA